TTAATAAACCATGATTTTGCTGTCTTTGTACAAAACAGTTTACCGGTTTATTTAGATAAGGCAAAGTGGAGGTGGCTCTGAATTAATCTGTTAAGAAAACAGTTTTCTTCGTGCTGGTGCTGGTGAGTTGAATTTTTGGAGGGATATTCTGTTCGCTGGTGTGGTAAATATTCTCAGGTTTTTTTCTTAATCAGATTTTTTTTTTTTAGTTTCGATTTTGCCTTGACGGATTCCTTTGGCTTTTCCTGCATTGGGGTTCGATTCAGTTCGGCTTTGAGGGAGTGTCAAAACTTGCTACAGTCGTAGACGAAAGCTCCAGACGTGCGGTACAGAGACTGGCTGGAAGGAAAGGCCATCTGACAGCTACTATTCCCGTTCACTGGAGAGTTGTTCAAGCCGATCCTCTGCGACTCGAACATCTCCCGCACCGAGTGGAAGTTCTGCTGCTGGCCCGGGTAGCCCGCGGCCGCCGCCGCCGCCGCACTCGCCAAGTGGCCCAGGTCTCCACCCGCCTGGTTCAGGTACCACGAGGTGAGGCGGCCTTGGTGGGCCGCAGGGTGGTGGCCGGCCTCCTGGCCTCCCCCGCCTCCGCTGCCGCCGCCGCCGCCGTGACTCAGGGACGACGAGCTGCTGCTGGTGACCGGAGGCAGAGAGTAGTCGGGCAGGGGGTCGTCCACTGCCGAGCCGCCCGCACCCCCGGGCGCGCCCTGCAAGTGGCCCCCGCGCTCGCCGGCCGCGTACAGGCTCATGGCCTGCAGGTTGCAGTGGTAGGTCCCGGCGCCGCCCGCGCCCCCCGTGCCCCCCGCGCCGCCGCCGCCCGAGCTGCCTGCACTGGAGCTCTGGCTGCAGGGGGAGCTGTAGAGGGAGCTCTGGCCGGGCGAGTAGGCGCCGAGTGCCAGCGGGGGTGCTATCCCTGGGCGCGAAGACGCTGCCGCCGAGGCCATAAGGCCCGAGCTGAGCTCTGCGGCCGCGCCCTGCGGCGACCCCCGCAGCGACGTCATGATGTTGTCCACGCTGAAGCCCTGGCTGTGGTGCGGCGGCGGCGGCGGCGCGGAGGGCGCGGGGGGCGGCGGCGGCGCGGACTCCGCACCGTCCAGGCTGAGCGGCCGCGCCGACGGCAGGCTGCCGGGGGGGCTGCTCCCGCTAGACAGGCTGCTGCTGCTGCTGTCGGGGCTCTCGATCTTGGGCACCGCGGCGGCGCTGCCGCTGCCCAGGGCGGAGGCCGGGGACAGGGGCTGGGGCGGCGAGGGACACGTACCGTTCTCGGTTTTGATGTCCTGGATGCGCACGGGCGGCGGCTGCGGGCCGGGCGCGTTGCCGTCGGCCTGCTCGGGCGGCGCGGGCGGGGGCTGGCGGCCGGGCGGGGGCGGCTCCTTGAGGTGCAGCCGGTCCTTCTCCTCCTTGTCCTTCACCGCGTCCTTCTTCTTGAAGCGCCGCCGCCGCCGCAGGAAGCTGCCGTTTTCGAACATGTTGTAGGAGTCCGGGTCCAGCGTCCAGTAGCTGCCCTTGCCCGGCTTCTTATCGTCGCGCGGCACCTTGACGAAGCACTCGTTGAGCGAGAGGTTGTGGCGGATGCTGTTCTGCCAGCCCTGCTTGTTGTCCCGGTAAAAGGGGAAGCGGTCCATGATGAACTGGTAGATGCCGTTCAGGGTGATCTTCTTGTCCGGGGCGTTCTGGATGGCCATGGTAATGAGCGCGATGTAGCTATAGGGCGGCTTCACCATGTCCTTGGGCTGCGGCTGCGGCGTGTAGGGCCCGTAGGCGCGGGCCATGCCGCCCGGGTACTGCTCGGCGTGCGCGGGGTGAGAGTACACGCTCATGGGGGCCGGCATGGCGGTGTAACCGCCCCCGGCCGCCGCGGCCGCCGCGCGGTAGTAGCTCTGCTCGCCGCCGAGGTAGGGCACCACTCCCAGGGAGTTGGGGCTGGACACGGAGTAGCGCGCCTGCATGGCCCCGGCTCGCCGCCGCCGCCGCCGCCCCGCGCCGCCCGCCGCCCCCCACCCTCGCTCGGGCCGGGCCGCGCCGCGCCGGCCGCCGAGTCCGAGTCCGGGCCCGGCCGAGCTGCTGCCGGCCCGCTGCGCTGTGCGTCCGGCCGGGCTGCCGCCTCTCCCGGCGCTGGCTGGGGCTGGCTCCTCCGGCGCCTGGGGCTACCTTCGGGCCCGCGCGGCCGCGAGGCGGGGTCGCTGAGAGGGGAGAAGGCCGGGGCGGGCCGCGGCAGACCGCCTTGCAGGAACTCGCGGCGCAGCTTCCAGGCGCAAACGGGGAAAAGCAGCCAAAAAGAAAGAACAAGCAGGCGCCCTTCTCGCCACACTGCCTGCGCCTTCCAGGAGACTCTGCCCTGAGCTGCCGGCGAAGGCGGCCAAATAACCAGGGGGGGGGGGCGCGCGCCGGCCGCCTGCCCAGGCCCCGCGTCACCTTTTCTCGGTCTCTCGCCCGCCAGCCGCTTAAGGAAGCATTGGGAAAACTTCTGAACTTTTGAGCATCCGTCACCCGGTCGAGGACTTTTTTACGCAGTTACACATTTTTCCGGGCAGCGGAGCCCCGCCCCGCCAGCGGCGGCAGCCAATGGGAAGTGAGAACCGCCTCTGAATGAGCCGGAGGCAGATCCCGGCCGGCCAGCTCCCGGAGGCCGGAGGACCGCGGGGCTGACCACACGCGCGCCGGCCGCCCTGGCCCTGGCCCCGGCCCCAGCCCCGCGCCTGCGCCTGACCGCTGTCGGTTCGCCCCCCGCAGTCCACCTGCCCGCCGCCGGCGCCCGGCGGGCCTCCCACCCCGGGCCCTCCGGACGCACGCCCGCTGTTCGCGCAGACTTTCAGGGTCTTCCCGGGCCCGGTGCAGACCCTTCCTTCGTCCACCGCTCCGGAACGGCCCCGGCGTCTCCGCCCCGCCTCGCGCTGACTAGTTCCCATTCCTTCGCCAAACCCGCCGACGCCACAGCAGCTGGGTTGCCCCGGCCTCTCCTCCCCGCAGCCCCTTCCCTCCCTTCTCCAACGTCTGTCTCACTCGGGTCACTGACGTCTCCGGCTTTTCTCCACTTGGAGGTTCTTCTGTCCTGAACTCGGCTACAAAGGACATGATTTTGAGGGCTCGGTTCCCAGGCCCTGTTCCCGGTGGGGAAGAAGGTTCGTCGCCCATCTCGCCCTCCTCCAGGACCCCTTCCCAATAGAAATTCAGGCAAAGAGTGCGGGGCCCGGCTGGGAGTTTCCGACGGCCGTTCACCCGCTTAGGATGAGCCCGCCTCACTTCGGGCCGCCCTGCTCCTCTCTCCCTCCCCGGGGGGGCCTTGGCGACCTGAAGGTGCGGGCCTCCAGAGCTGCCAAAGCCCGGCTGCTTCCCCGCGCTCCCTTGCTCGCCCACTAGGGTCCCTCCGGCTCCCCGCGCCGCCACCCGCTCTGGTCCCGCCACGCGCGTTTCGGCTCAGATGAGGGGTCAGGCTGCGGGCTCGGTGACATTAGCAGGTGTGATGACAAGAAGCAAATAAATATGTCTAAGAGCTTAACACTTCCCCAGGTCAGTCTCTATCTCCACACGTGCGGGGCTCGCAGAGATAAATGGGTGTGTCTGGGGGAACGCACGGGATCGCACCTGCAGGGCGGTTCAGAGATTCTGGGGGGATACGCACAAAAGAGTTCCCGCTCCTTGTGCACACGCCTGAGATTTGCCTTCGCTGGGTGGTTCGAATGGGATAGAAAAGAGAAATGAGGGAAAGAAACGGAAGAGCAGGAAAGAGCTGGGCATCCCTCCCCCCCCCCACCCCCGCACGGAGATTCTGCATTTCAGTGAGTTTAGGAGAGACCCTCCGGGAGGCTGAATCCTAGGTCGTTCATTAGAAGTTGGGGGAAGTGGCGAGTTTAGCAGGCTGCGAAGAAGCGTGTGTGACGCATTTAACACCTCTGCTCCCCCTGATTTCCGAACATCTCTAAACTCCAAGGTCTTGTTCGGGGCCCTTTGGTCTCCTCGGTTCCAATCCGGTCTTCCTCACGTTGGCAGGAAAATTCAAATTGCAGCTTCGCTGTTACATGTGAAGGACGCTGACGTGTAGCAGGCGCATCTCGGTGTCACCTGAACATTTAAAAATTACTGTTTCATAATGGACATTGACATCGAGGGAAGGAGGACCTGCCCCTTCTAGAATTAGCCTTTGGAGGAGACAGGGTTGCTCCGAGGTTGATCTGAATCCCGAGGCAGCTGCCTCCTGGCCTGCTTTGCGCCGGGGTCTCTGGAGACTCCCTTTCCAGGTGCTTTGCAGGCCAAATCACTGGTGGGTTGGAGAAGCACCGACAGGAGACTCAGTACTTGCTGGTGGGCAAGGACACTAGACAGGGGCGAGGGTGGTGGTGAAGCCCCATGACTTGAACACTTAATTCGTGTCCAGCCAGCCCCCAGTTCGGCAGCTTGGCGGTCTTAGCCCCCTTGGTCGAGGCTTTAAGCAGGCTTCAGCCTGGAGGAGACAGAAGTGGTCTTCCTCAACACTTCAACGTTTGGTGAATTCGGTCTTTAAGCTGTTTTTTGCACTGCTAGCGGTGCGCGGAGATGAACGCAGCGATTACGGATGCTTTGTTTTCCGAATGCGGGAAATGCCTTCGGCCCGGAGTTTTGCAACAGGCAATCGTGCCCTGCTGTCCCCTCCCCCATCAGCCCTGTCGCCTCCTGCTCTTCCCTGACTCCTCCCTCCTACGGCCCAGTGAAGTGTAAACAGCTTGTTATGTAAATTGCAAATCGAACCGCAGCGGTATTCTCCGCTCTCCGCTTTGGGTATAAAAGTTGCCGTTGTGAAATTAGTATCTGGCATGAAAAAAAAAATGAGGAGTGTAGTTTTATCAAGATCAACTTTCCACTGGTTTAGATCTGGATATTCGCCAGGAAAAGATATTTGCATTTGTGTTTTATAAACTTGCACGGAAGCAAGCCTCCAGTAAACGGCTTAATTGTATTTCAAGCACTTATTTCATTATTGTTGTTAGTTGTGTTATTTGAACATAAGACGCAGACATAGAAACTTTTGGGGAACAGGTTAAAGTTTTTATTTTCAGGTTGAAGTTTTTAATACCCCTTTCTGCTACTCCACGGAGTACTTCAATCATACTCTTCAGCACATCCCTTGACTCAGTTGGCAGAAGAGCCCCCACAGGAACCCTACAGCTTCTTTTCTGACACCTTGAGTACTTGCAGCCTGAAGGCCCCGCAGGCGACAGCGGTAATGGATGTTTGGTGGAATGGTCGCTGGGCCCACACACCGCCCCTCCCCAGCAGGCAAGGCTACAATTCCTAGGGCCCACCGACGGGTGCTTAGCTCGAGGGGATGACGTCACAGCGACTTCGAAACAAGGCCTCCCCGGACCCCACCAAAGAAAAGCACCAGGAAGGGGAATGTGGCTAGCACTCCAGGAAATGCTCGGACTGGAGACCAGGTGACACCGTAGGAATGTGTGTGCTGGGGGACGAGATGCTGTCCTAAACGCAGGTCACCAAGAGCCAGAAAGAGCTCTTTTCTTTTTTTCTTTTGCAAGTAAAGTACAGGGAGTGGAGATTGGGATGGGGGCAGTCCTTAAAAATCACTCCCTAGGGGTGTGAGCTCAGCCCGTGCAGTTCGATTTGTCCCCTATCGCAGGCCAGTCGCCTCTGTGGTGTGCCTAGATGCCCTCTCTTTTACCTCCCCTCTTTCTGGCTTCTCCAGGCTCTGGGATCTGGGTTCAGCTCTGGAAGCCGAACTGTGGGCTGGACTGGAGAGGCGGGCACAGGTAGGAACCAGCTTCAAGGAGGCGCCGCCTGGCCCAGGAGCTGGAGGACTACGGAAAAGGCGGGCTTAGCACACGAGGGAAGGCGCTGCTCCTGCTCCACTTGGTACAGTGATTCTCGGGGGTCTGCTCACACAGGAGGGAGGCTGCAAGTCCACAGCTGCCTTAGCATCTTTCCCTTTGCTGGGGTAGACACAGTGGAAGATTAAGGCGATTAACACCGGAGGGCCACTGGAAAACTGCCTACTAGGCTGCCATCACAGACCACTGGAGCAAGATCTGCTTGGAAGTGTGTTTGAGCTATTTAGACTATTTAGATAATTGTCTTAGTTCTCCATTTGGCTTCCTTTGCTTACACCAAAAGCCCAGGGGTAGGGGAGGTTATGCTGGTATCAATGCCCTGTATTCGTTTTCAAACCACGGTGCCGGCAGGTAACGTTTGTCAACGGTGCGACTTTTCAGTGGAAGAAGGAGGGGGACCGGACGTCTGGGTGGCCATGACTCCGGGCAGATCCTCCTTAGCTGGGGGATTTTCAAGTAGAGGTTTTGTTAGCACAGTCGCTCCAATTCAGCACCCTCCTTAGTAGAAAAATAATTTCTACAATAAACGAAAAGAGCGTTTGGTTTTCGATTGTTTTCAAGGCAAAGTGATCCATATTGCCTGTCTACATGATTGGATTAATCCAATAGTTGCCCTCCTGGGGGGGGGCGTGGTGCGGACATCCACGGGAAGTTTGTATGACGGGATAATTTAATGTCATCTCCTAACTCCCCTAGATAGGCGGTTCCCCTAATTACTCACCCAGGAGAAAGCCAGCCAACACCTGCTCGTTCTCGCCTCGGGTTGGCCCACCTGTCGCCCCTTTGCAGGAAAGCACTCGCCTCGAAGCGCGTTTCAGGGGCTCAGAGCCGAGCTAAGGTGCAAGAGGGGGCCACAGGGAATGCGGGAAATGAATCGTTAACTTTGGTCTCCGGCTTCAAAAGACTCCGGGCTTCTTGTGTTCAGGCAGAGATAAATGAAGATTCAAATTGTCATCTTGCATTAACAATCCAGAATGAAAATTTGTAAAGGGCTGGATGATCGGAAAGAACAAATGGTGCGTGTGTGCACGCCCGAGCCCCGGTCTTTCCCCATCCAGGTCCCCAGCGGACTCAGGGCGGCCGCCGCACTCCAGGGCCTGGGAGGACAGAGGCCCGCAGCCTCCCAACCTCGGCTCACGTTGCGGGGGGCGGGGGGCGCCGCTCAGGGCGGGCGGGTCTGCCAGAGCCAGAGTGCGGGGTGCGGCAGGCGCCGGCCATCGGAGGACCGCGGGACGAAGGCGCCTTCCTGGGGCTGGAGCGCAAGGCGTGTGCCCCTGCACGGACGCGCCTGGCTATGGGTGTCGAAGGAAAGGCTTTGCTCGGTGAGACAGACCCACAGAGAGCTCCGGAGCCGCAGGCTGGGTGAAGCGGCCTATACCTTGCAGGCGGGCTGTTCCCGGGTCTCCCGGCGGGGCTGCCGTGAGCCTCCCTTCCAAGAGCTACCTTCGCGGAGCCCTGCGCTCTGGGACCTTCCTTCCGACGTGCCACCGCGCTCCGAACCTTCTGGGCAGCAGCCCCGGGACACTGGGCCTGGGCGGGTGTTTGCACCTCTCAGGGCAGGGACAAGGCCGACACCAGGCTCGGTGCAACTGGCCTCCCCGGAGGGCCTGAGGACCGATGCCGCCGGCGACTGCTGGTCCTCGCGAGTGGGTCGGCGCCTGGAAGCGTGGCCTGGTGATCTGGTGGCCCGCGCCCTGACCGCCCTCCACAGGCTTCCTGCCGCTTCTCCGCAAGCGTGGGAAGAGGAAGGGCGATGCAGAAGCCCGGAGGCCCCTTGGCCGACCCAGGCTGGGGCTCTCAGGCTGGAGGACCAGACCCCGGCCGGTCCCGCACCTTGGGAGCCCCGGGCCTGGCAGCCGTCCTGGGCGCCTGCACAGGACACTGCGCGTGCTACGAGCGCCCCCTGCCGTCGGAGGCTTCGTCTCCGCGGCGCCTCTATCCACGCCGGGCTCCAAGAGCCAGCCCAGCCCATCCCTCCGCAGCGTCCCCTGGGAACCCGCTCCCTGGGGAAGGGGGCTTGGGGCAGACCACGCCGCCGGAGTAGGACTCCGCAGGCCTGTCACCTGGTTTTCGCATCCTGCAACTCTCATCCTTCAGGGTCCAGGCGGGAATAGTCCCATCGGGGAGACCACGTCAGACTCCCAGGCACAGACCAGGCACGCTTTTGTTCCTGGAGTGGAGGGAGGTGACCTGAGACAGGCTTTCAGCGACCGCTACGCATTCCTTCCAGGCGGCCCTTTTAATTGATGTACACGTTACAGAAAAAGCAAGGCTGCTCCATCAAGTGAATTACATTCTGGGAGATGCCAAGGAATGTATTTACTGGCAGCCAGGTTTGCCAATAAAAGTTGCAAATAAAGACTGCTGGTTTCCAGGAAAATGTACTTCTGTTTTTTAACCAATCCTTAGTCTTAATTACCAAAAACCGAGGCTCCAAAGAACCGGTTTCGAGCACAGGACCAGTGAGTGGCGGTGCTGGCGAAGTCCCACACCCCCACGTGCACTTACACACCCCGAAGTCACCTATGGGAACAGGGACCAGGCACACCTCTGGCTTTGCCCACAGAGAGGCTTGCCCGTATTTACATATGCAGCAGACATAGACACAGGCGAAACGCTGGCACGCAGAGAGGTATGCATTCGGATTAGCGCTGTTTAGTTTGGAAGTGAAGAAATAAGAAAAGACAAACTATGGCAAATAGGCGCATTTCCACAGAATATTAAATAGAAATAAATGCATGCGAGGAGAGGAGGTGCTTGCTCTGCAGTGTTTAGCTATGGTTGCCCTGGTAATTCTTTTCAGTCCAACTGGGTTGACTGTAAGTGAACGCAGCAGACAAATCCGGAATTTCCATTTACTAAAGGTCCACTTTGGCTCGGGGTCACAAGGACCCCAATGGGAATTAGAAAATCTCCCCATTCACTAGATAGAGCAGCACTCCACCCCCCCACCCCAAAAAAGGAGTTTGGGCAGAATGTGCACACTAATGACAGGCGAATTTGTTTCATTTGTTTCTCCATTGTTAAACACAGATATTAATAACCACAATTACAAGGACAGGTAAGATACATAGAACACTTTGTATGCGGACAACCTGCTGCGTGATTTAACTACTCCTTCCACTTAATCCTCACAAGGACTCTGACATGGATGCTATAATCTGCATGTTATAGGTGAGGAAACTGAGCTTAAAGAGAAGAAAGCACTTGCCCAAGGTGACACAGCCTTCGCAATTGCACTCTGCAGGATCTCACTGGTTCTAAGACACCATTTGTGGTAAGGTTTGGTGCTTATGAGCCACAAAGAGGGGAAAAAAACTAAATTATTAAATATCATCAGTGGTGAATCTCATCTCTGTTTCAATTACTAAAATGTAAAAAAAAAAATGTGCATTTCAGATCAATGATACGTTTACTAATCCATGTAATCAACAAACTGTAGAGGCCTGCTCTGTTTTTGGTCTTCTTCTAGCAGCTTGGAGTATAACAGAACACCCTTTGCAGATATCCATGAAGTGAAATATGAATTACCATGGGAAGGATGTTTACCCACAGCAACCCTCGAATCTATTGTATATGTGTACACATTTTGACTTGCACTGGGCTGGTTTCTCTGCACCCTTTCAGAGCTGCTCACGCCAGTGCTATGTGGAGAAACAGGTATAAGTGCATGCACAGAAAAATGGCATGTATTTGGGCACAGACATTCTGTATAGTTGAATAAAGGACCTGCTGGTGAGTGCATGTTTCTCTCTTCCTGGATGCTACCTGGTGGCTCCTCTCCTGTTTTCCTCTCCATTTAGTTTCCCCAAGGAAGATTCTCCAGGAAACGGCACATAAAGCAGAGAGGCTCTTTCCTGCCCCTGCCTCCATGGTGGGCCTACCCTTACCCACAGCTCCAGACAGAGTGGGGAGGCAGGCAGGAGCCCCAGGACACTGAGGAAGCCAGAGCACTTCCTCTCGGACCCATGGCAGACATCAGCCAGAGGAGGCTGGAGGAGGGACAGGAAGCAGAAGATGGGTTTCAGGTTGTAGCTCACCTCCAGGACACCATGTCCAGGCTGTCCAGAAGTCACCAAAGTCAAAACCTTGGAATCACAGAGAGGGAAACTGAGGCTCTCAGAAAAGAGCTGGCCCATGATAAGGAGGGCTCCCACCCAGGACTTGCAGTCTAGTGCCGCTTTGCCCAGCACATGCCCCAGCACCCCCGCACCCCTGCCTTCAGTCCCACCAAGGCCTAGGGTCTAAAGCAGCTGATGTCTTTGGCCAGGTGGGCTTTGAGGGTCACAGTGGAGTAGGAGCAGGGAAAATGAGAGAGGTGGGTGGCAGGGAAAATGATTGAAGGGCTGAGGGGGGAGGGGCTTTTTCCTTTTCCAGGAATTTCTCTCTTGCCCAACAAAAGCTTGGCTTGGGCTTGGACCATTGATCCAAAGGCCAGCCTTGGGGAAGGGAAGAGAGCATGGGAGGCAGAGCCAGAGGAGGCCCAAGACCTCAGCCTCTGGAAGTGTTTGGCCACCAAGGGGCGTGCGGGGCAGCAAGGGCTCTACTCTCCCAGGGTCTGGCCAGCTACAGGGGTGCCCAGGTGCCCTGTTCCCCGGAAGAGCTGGGGAGGCCCAGTCCTGGTGGATTGGGGCCTGGGGTACCTCGGTCCAGACTCCCCCAGGGAGCGCCCGGCCCCACCGGCTGCAGCCACGGCGACAGTCTGGGGCTGCCCTGCTTCTCCTCAAGACCAGCCGATGGGTCAGGGCGCCTGGTCTCCCCGTTTCTCCCCCGTCGCGCTCAGGAAGGTGCTTTTAAAGGCTGGCGGGCGGGCTCACAAGCTCGCACACTGCAGCCGAGCCAGCCTGTGTTTAGTCTGGCGCTGACGTCCTTCCTGAGCAGATGGTAAGAGGAAGCCTTCTCCAAGCCGTTCCTGCCGTCGCCCACCCGGCCCATCCATCATTTTCTCACCTACCGGCCCCAGGACCGCGAAGTCCTCACTGAGAGCTTGGCAGAAAGTCCGGGCCAGGTCACAGACCCCCGCCACCTCGCCCATGTGTGAGAGCCTTTCCTTCCTCCTTCAGCACAAAGGCTTACATTATTGTATGTCCCTGTGATGAAACACGCACCAGATTAGATAAGGTTGAATTGCAGTTTTATAGGGTGCCAGGATCGTCCATGAGACACTCTCCTTTCATTCGTGAGATTGTGCGCTTATAAGAATACTTTGCTCGAGTAGTTCTCACTTGGCTCAAAGAGACAACATCTACACACAGGATGACTTCTTAGGAAGGACTGCGGGCTGCCCAGCTTGGGGGAAATTAGTTACTCCCGAGAAAGAGCAAGCTACTAGAAGTTGCTGGCATCTGGGGCCTGGCCCAGTCAGCCCGCAGCACTGTTTTGCTTTTGTGTGTGGCAATTCTGCACGGTGCCCAGTGCCATCCTCAGAAACGCACCCTTGGAGTTTTCATTGTTTGCCTTTGTGAGCATTTGCTATCAAAGATGATGTGTTAGGCGTATTTGTTTTAGTAAGGAACTCGTCCAGAGGCAGGCAGACGTGTCACTGGGAGAATGTTTTGGCAGGAGTGGGGCAGGGGTTTTACATAATAGGAAAACAGATGCAACTCCACCCTTCCATCATCAAGGCAAGCACAGCCACACATTTTGTTTAATCTCAGTCACATTGTCTACCGTCTGCTGGAAGTAGGTTAGTTTTCTAGTAAACACCACTCTTACTGCTGCCAACTGTTTGTTTTGGAATGGGCTCAGACTCACCCAGGTCCTCCTGCTTTGTTCATTTCAGGTTGTCAGGTTGTCTTTGGATATTTTAAAAGAGAGAGCTAATGCATGGCAATAACATTTCCATATATTCGTATGAATATATATATATATACGTATACATGAATATATGTATGAATATATATGTATATGCATA